CCCAGTGGACAGTGCATTTAGCACTGTGATATCTAATGGCTATTCAGAAGCAAATATTTAGAACAGGAGCACATATGGCATATACCATATATTGTACAAATATTATATAGATACATTCTCTGTTTTGGAAGACAGGTACAAAAAGGAAAATTTGACTTATCAGCTGGTATCAGGTGTGATTCCTATGGTCAAATTCTCTTCTACATTTTATTTTGTTGTTGTTGTCTAATTACTGCTAAAAAGCCTTAAACTTTCCTAATGATAACTTTAAGGCCTAAAGTTTATAATAAAAATTGAGTCATTAAGTTTAGTGGAGGTTATGATAGATTTTAAGGTATGTTATAAAAATTTATTCAGTGAACATATGATTTACTATAATGCATTGTTTATACTATGCTTTTCTGTGAGTAAAGATCAATATATTTCTAGGCTGGAGGCAAGGTAATATTTCTGTCTCTTTTTTATTTGGTAAACATCTAAGCCTTTTCCTGAGAACATACATGGCCTGGGTTACCAAGACCCAGGCTGGCCCGAATTGTTCAGAGAAACGGATTCTCACTGACTGACCACCGCGCTCTTGGATTATTTGAAATGCAGTTCATAGGGAAAACACAAAAACAAAAGAGAAAACAAAAGACACATAAACAGATTGTGACTGAGAAGGTTCTGAGAGAAAGAAATAAAATTAAAAGCATTAGCGAGGATACTGATCAGGAAGGAGAAACATTTCTCACTAAATAATGTCAAATATTGGCAGGAGCAGTTCTTATCCTCAGTAAAGATTACCTGTCATGTTTCATTCTTATTTTATTGCTGTTTGTTTTGCTGTATTTCATTATCACATACTTTCCCTCTGTTATGAGCAGGAAAAAAGAGTTTACAATTACACTCTCACTTAACATCTGGAGACTTAGGACATCACACTAGAAATATATCACTAAAATATTAAACAAGACAAACAGAACTGGACATCTATCCTGTGTCAGTGCACCCGACTTCATTGATGTTTCCAATTCTGCAGTTGAACCTCGAGGACAGAAGGACTTCAAATCTTTGAATTCATTTTCTTCACAGATGGGATCAACAGGTCAAAACCCTCCACAGAGAAACCAAACTGCCCTGGTGGAATTCATCTTACTTGGCTTCTCTGATGTTCCCAGTCTGCAAGGATTCCTTTTTGGGCTGTTTCTGGTCATGTATGTGATGGCTCTGGTAGGAAATAGCCTCATTCTCATCATAACCAAGACAGACCCTTCACTGCAGATGCCCATGTATCTTTTCCTGGGAAATTTTTCATTTTTGGAAATATGTTATGTGTCGGTCACTATCCCCAGACTATTAGAAGATCTCCACAGACAAAATAGAAGTATTTCCTTTCTGGCCTGTGCTACGCAGATGTATGTCTTTCTAGTCCTAGGGGTCACCGAGTGCTTCATTCTGACAGCTATGGCTTACGACAGGTATGTCGCCATTTGCAACCCGTTACTCTACCCTGTCATCATGAACAACAAGCTGAGCAGCCAACTGGCAGGTGGCTGCTGGATAAGTGGAGTTCCAGTTCACATCGGGTTCACCTACTCGATCTTCTCCCTCCCTTTCTGTGGCCATAACCAGCTGAACCACTTTTTCTGTGATGTACCTCCAGTCCTCACCCTTGTCTGTGGAGACACTTTTTTGATTGAGATGCTGATTTATGTCATTGCTCTTTTGGTTGTCACTGTTCCTTTCATGTTGATAGTTGGATCTTATGTGAAAATCATCTCAACCATCATGAAGCTGCCATCCACCACTGGGCGGGCGAAAGCCTTCTCTACCTGTTCTTCCCACCTCATGGTTGTGGCTTTGTTCTTTGGATCAGGCATCATCACATATTTGAGGCCGAAATCCAGTCATTCACCAAAAACAGACAAATTCCTTTCTCTTTTCTATACCATCGTGACTCCTATGTTTAATCCCATGATATACTGTTTGAGAAACAAAGATGTTATGGTGGCATTGAAAAAATTCCTTCTGAAATGGATTGTCTTATGACACAAGAATCATGACTTTGTAAAATTTGATTTTTTATTTGTCCCAGTCTCTATAAATCACTTTTGATTCTTTTATAGTGTTTTTAGAACTCTCAGGTCTTATGAATAACATTTTCACATTTTTAATCTCACAGGAATCCAACCTTGTTGTTTTCAAACAATTGACCTCCAAATACCAATACTGATGTGTAAAAGCAGCTTCTATGAAAATCAAGCCAAAAAACTGAAGTGAAGTAACACATGCAAATGATCATAGACAGATGTTATTTTTATTTTCAATACTTCTGAAAACTCTCTTTATTTTCTATTTCACAAACAAACTATTCATCTTTATATCTCCGTGTGCAATGTATTGTGTAGAAAGTTATGTCACCCAGTGGAGTCTGTCAGACTGAGCAGACTGAACTAAGAGTATTTCATATGTTTTTGACCAGTGATTGCTGTCTAATCACGTAAGGGCACGTCAATAAAGAAGGATCAAGACTGCATGGTGATGAGCATTGTTGAAGTTAAACCTTGGTAGTACAGGTGCTTCTGTTAGCTATTCATCACTATGATTCGTTCATGTATCAAAACTGGATAACAGGACTTTTAATGTGGTACTCTCTGGGCAATGTCATACTTTCCTCAAAGAAGACTGTTTTTTGAATCGATGCATAAATTTTGGACAGCTGTTGGGGTCATGATGGTGACTTGATACATATACATGTAGTGTGAATAAGATAGAAATATATACTTGATTCAAAATGATACACAATGACCCATGCCAAGGCTTTTTTTGAGTTTATGACAGCCATAGATGTGTTCTGAATATCAGTAACCAAACGTCTCTAGTTGTTCCAGAGAGCTCTGAAAGGGTTTTCTGCACTGTGTCTCACGCTGTGCACTGACCCATGGTACATTACAGAGAACCTCACCACCTCAATCGGGGATTGACATCAAATCAAGGAAGTAAGCATTTTGATCTTTTTGATGGTTAATTATTATATCTGTTGGAAATTTTGTACTCTTTAGCCATTCTACAATATATCTTGATGAATTTTATCAATTTGTAAACATACAGCAGTAATGAAACCACGTAAATTCTCTCTGCCCAATGTACTTCAAGTGGGGCAGATCTGAGAAGTCTAAAATCTCATTTTTTAAGAGAATTAATCACTGAGTATACAAGGGAGCCAGTAGACATTTCAGGGAATGTCAAGCCAAAGTCTGTCATAAAGTATGAGCTCTGAATGTTTAAATGACCCGCACATGTGAGCCCCTTCTAGGTCCATTCCCCTGCAGCACAAAGGAAGCCACCAGTGTAGTAAAGATTTTGCTACGTCCTTTGGCTGGGCCTGGATAACTGTTCCGGAAAGGGGACCATGCATGTTGCACAGATGGGAAGTAGCAGCTACAGAAAGGCCTGGGGAAGCTTGTCCAGCAGTATTTTTCCCATTTGAATGTGTAGCTTCATGTCAATCCCCTACTGAGGTGGCGAGGTTCTCTGACTACAGTGAATTGATCCACAGCGTGAGACAGAGTGCAGAAAACAAGAGGCCTCAGGAAGAACTAGAGACACTTTTGTTACTAATATTCAAAACACAGAAATAGCTGTCATAAACTTACAAAAAGCCCCAGAATGGGTCATTTGTTAACCTTCTGCATCAAGTTCTGTCTACTTCACTTGCTGCCACCTCCAGGGATGCCCTCCGTGAGTGAGCACCTTAGGGCTCAGGTTCCAGAATTCGGCCTTTGTTCTCTACCACACCACTTCTGATTCTAGATCTTTCCCACCCACCTCTTCCTTGCATTACCTTTTCTCTGTGGAAAGAAGAATTAAAAGATCTGGGAGAGAGCGGGATGGAGTCACACAATCACCAGGGCGCCCTGACTCATAAAAAATTATTTTAAGCCACTCTACAGTCATAGATAGATAGATAGGTAGATAGATAGATAGATAGATAGATAGATAGATAGATAGAGGTAGAGACATCGATATATATGTGTGTGTGTGAATATATATGTGAATATATATATTCATATATATGATATTATATATGATATGATACATATGATATATATTCATATATATATATGGTGATGTTTATTGAGAAACTGGGTAATAGAGCAGGGGTATCTGCTCTATTTTTTATCCTCACAGTCAAAGAATGAGAGTTCCTGTTGATATCATCCTCATTAGCATGTACTGTTGCAGGGTTTTGTTTTGTTTTGCTTTGTTTTGGATTTTGACCCTTACTACAAATATGTGCATTCATTCACTCAGTCAAGAGGACAAGGCAGATAGTCTGAATAACGAGGTGTCCTGCAGAACCCACAGAAGCTACATTTCCTGAACTCCATGTGCAGACCCAGAGAGGACTTTGGAACACAGACTTACACACAACAAGGAATATTAACTCCTTGCATCACATTAGCTAATTTTATGCATCTAGCTAATTCTATCCTGTGCCCCTGGTGTCTAGGTTTTGCCTTTTCTCCAAAAGATATAGAATAAGATATGACCAAAAATCTCCAAGTATAAAAAATTACAAGTACATCTCCGGAGGGAGAGGGACATTTTCTCGGGTCATATGTAAGCAGTTGCAAGAAAGGGTTCTGTTTGAAGCAAGTATGCTATAATATCCACTGCCTGACTACTCTACATTGGCCAGGCCTGTGCTGTCACAAAGTAGACAATGTTGGTGTGATGGACGTGAAGAAAGGTTTCAGGGGCCTCGTGAGGAAGGTGGAGAGAAAAAGCAATGCGTCTCTGTACATTAGGTTAAACTGAACTGAAGAATAGCAGTCTTCCATGGTTCTAAGATGTAAAGAGTTTTAAAGAGAAACAAGCCTTGGAGAAGAATCCCAGGTATAGAGTCCAGCCTTCAGAATCAGATATGGAGGCTGTGCTATTCTCCTTGACTGGTGTGGCCATTGCTGGCCCAGCCAGCAACATGGAAAGAAGGCAATCTCCAGGCAAAGAGGTCCTCCTAAGCCCGAGAGGCAAAGTCTTCATATATTGTGTCCACCCCTATTTCACTGTCAAAAAGTAAGTCACATGGACATCCTGGCTGTGTGACCAGCAGGAACATACACCAGCATTACAGAACTCAGTAAAAGCGAAGAAGAATTGAATTTGTGCAATGCTTATCAGTCTTGAGCATCATATAATGTACAATATAAGCATAAGCGAAGGTGAGTAGTGATAGATTGAAGGAGAAAAACAAGATAATTCTATTACATTATAGAAAATTATTATATTTGAAAGAACACGGAGAGAATTGAAAAACATGAATCAGTTATGAAAATGGTGAATGATTTTAAGAAAGTATTTCAGTTTTAAGAGAATTACCACAAAGATGTATGCTCAGGAAGTGAATATTTAGAAAACAGGTGCAGTATAATGTGGTGACATCTAGAGAAGGTTTTTAAAAAGAAACGTAAAATGATAAATATGCCAGTTTTTCTAAGTGACTGTTTTCATATGTAGGAAAATTGAGAATCAAACAGAAGAAAATATTTGAGAATAATCTCTATGTAAATTCTGCAACCGTGTTTACCATGTATGCAGTATTCAACCCTGATTTTATCTACTGTCTTCCCCTAGACAAATGACTCTAGTGGTCTCCTAAGATGTTTCTCATACACTCTGGTGTATAGTAAAGTATACATTTTTTCTTCCTTACATGGCCATTCATTGCCACTTTACCACTAACAAGGGAAGAAACCAGTATAAATCAGCAATTTGAAGAGGTGAAGGACACAGGCATACCTTGGTAAGGTAGCTGGAAGGGGGTGTTCAGCAGTTACACAAATAAATTCTCAGGAATAAGGAGTATATGACAAGGATAAAAGAAGTAACTGATGAAATAAAAATTAAAATTTATTAAGGATCAAATGAATGTTGTGTTCAGAAATAGGGTTTGAAATATTTATATATCCTGCAGGAAAATGGGTCAGTCTCCACAGGATGACATTTCTGCTAGGGTTAAACAATGGACTTGTTTTGACAGGCAGATGTTGGGACCAGTCTAGTGTAGAAACATTTCTGTGCCTTCTGAATGGTAGAGCATAATGACTAGTGTAGATGTATATTTATTGAATGTTAAATAAAGGGAACAAAACCGAAAGCATGAATTGTATAATTACATTTTACATAAACTTTCATTATCGTGAACTGAATATCTTCAGATTCCATGTATGGACACAGGCCGACTTTAACACAGTGATCGCCTGGTACAGCCTCTCCCACCGGAGAAATCTCTGTTCTCCAAAGGCAGAGGATGGGGAGGGAGAAACAGAGGAGGGGCCACGAGGCTGGCGTCTGCAGCTCCTATTCCACGGAGGCAGAAAGGGCAGTAAGCACTGGTCCAATCGCAGAAGCCCTTGACTACCCGCTAAATTATCAGCCGACAAACAGAATGTTGAGCTTAAAAATGCAACATGCCACAGACCCTAGACACTCTCCCAATGTATAAGGCACTGTTTCCTACCTACAATGCACCATAGATAACTAAAGTGTAACGAGTGTGCTTTAAGAGGAAACATATGGCTAGTCTTGTTACTTAATTAATATGAATAAAGACTTTACATAAGAACTCATTCTTTTTAAAAGAGGAAACAGCTAGTGATATCTTCAGGTTATATAAAAGGTAAGGGGTACTAACTTCATGCTGCTTGTTTTATTTTACCATAATGTAATCTTATGAATCAAAAGTCATCAAAGAAAATTCATTCTTTCAACCGAATTCAATAATGATGCAATTCTGAACACAAAATTTACATATAGGCTGTGCCTACATATGAATTAGTGGATCATTTTTATAGTAGCAACTGAGATTGACAATGGACATGGAATTATTTACTAGTTGTGAGTGATTTCCTATTTCTTATAGTTTTGTTGGTATTATTAAGGGTATCAAATTCAAAATGATGTTTTCTTTTGAATTTTCTTTTCTCTTTCATTTTAATTTCTTATTAGTACGTGCTTCTAGTACTTATGATTGCATTCCTTGTGGG